TAAATACAAAGTTTGAATACAGGGGTTTATTTATCAGTAGTTTTATCAGTTATAGTAATACATAGTAAAAATATTGGAAAAATAATTAAAAACTGGATGAATAAAAAGTTTTAATGCATAGTTGGTTTTATTTTGAAAAAAGTAAAAAACATTTGTTATGAAAGTCGGGTGATTTCACTGATTTCATTGAGTTATCACGAAAAATGTGATTTTTTCAGCTTTGGAAGCATTTGGAGAACAAGCATAGGATAATAACTTGGTATTCGCATTTTTCCACGATTGTGTTGGTTGAAAATAACAATTTTAAGACCGCTCCGTCACTTCCTGTTCAAAAATAAATTTTCATCCATAGTTCTGAAATTTCTTCAAAAATGTTCAAATTTGACGTTTTCGTACACATCATGATCCGCAGATACCAAAAATGCGAAAAAATTATTGGGATGCCATTCAAAATTACGGAGTTAGGATCATTTCCGGTCAAACCGGAAGTTACTAAACATTGACACACATGTCAAAAGATGACATTGCTCAAACCTACACTCCATACCAAAAATCTTTGCCATCGAAAAAAAAACCAGGGGGCGGATTACGAACTTTCGATTCGAACCGAAACCGCCATGGATTTCGAACGCATTCTCATGCATTCGCATGGAGTGCGTTTGAAATCCATGGCGGTTTCGGTTCGAATCGAGATTTCGTAATCCGCCCCCAGCAAATGCCAGCGCGAAACTGATCTCGTAGACACCCGGTATAAGAAGGCCGGCATTGATTTGTAAGTTAAGTTTCAGTTCGACTGTGATACGATTTAAATAGTGATTGTAAAGAGTTTAATTGTTGAGTTAGTAAAGTAATTAGTGTCAGAGTGTATTGTTAAGTGGAATAAATTATTGCTGTGTTACTTGGACTTTGATTTTTTGGAATAAACGAAACGAACAACGAACCCAAGATTTCTGTCCGGCGATCCAAAGCCGCGACAATATTATTATTAACTGAATTCCAGATTTTTTTTAAATTATTATTAGGGGACTACTGAGTGCTGGCTTTACGTTTACTTGGGGGTGTATATTTACAGTAAAGCTGCTGTCAGACACTGAAATAAAAAAATTAGTGCTGACTTTAACCAAACAATATGTGTTGCCTACGTTGAGACACTTTTTCTTATTGGCATTTTCGTATGTTATTGTTATAAGTAATCATTATTATTTGAAATTCATATGTCAATTTTTGAATATTCGAATCTTAGAGTTTTCATTTTAGTTCCATATTTTATAAATATATCTTGGTTATATATTTAGCAATAACTTTAATGAAATATTAAGGGCCAGTTGCACCAACAGCGGTAACCATAAGACACTGGTAACCCTCAATATATCTGTTTCATAATGTGTGGTTGAGCCCAAAACTGGTCAAGCATCATAAAACTTAATTCTTTCTCTCTGTCTCTCTCATTTTGCGAACTTGTGGTTAACCCACAACTAAACTAAGCGGCAGATGAAGTGGGACACCCGAAAAATTGCCTAATTTTGACTTGCTATAACTTCGACATTTCTTTGCCGATCTTTGATTATCAGGCAGGGTTACAAAGCGCCATCTTTGGTCTACGCGTCAGTGTCGTCGTAGATTTTTTTAAAAAATTCCTCCTCGTTATACAGGGTGTAAATGTAAGGCGGCGAAAAATTTCCATTTTTTAGCGAAGAATATGGGAAAGATGGAGGGTCCAATAAAGTTCTTTCTAGTGGTGACTCGATCACTAGGTCAACACCTCGAGACGTCTTTGCCATTTTTTCGATACATCGCGTTGCTATGGAAATATGGCCATTTTATGGTATTTCGTTTTTCTCTTGAAATTAGCGATTCTTTAATCGAACAATAACAGATTCCGTTTAAATTGCATCATGGAATGACTTGTATAGAAAATCAACACCAGTGGCGTGCAAAAGGGGGTTTATGAAATTAAAATAAAAAAAATTGATTTTATCTGAAATTTTTAGTTTTGTTGAGCTTTAAAATTTAACTCCCAAATGCACCATAAGGACTCGATTTAGATTAGTTGCTGGAACCAGGTAAGGACTTCTTTTTTATATGCAAATTTTCGAACTAAGCGAGAATAAACTCCCAAGTCCATACGGTGCATATGGGTGTAAAAGGAGTTATAAATAACTCTGATATGGTGTCATTTTGGTTCTCCTCTAGCCTGAATAACTGCGTGACACCGCCTTGGCACGCTCGAAATTATTCGGTTAATTAGCTCTATAGTAACTGACTCTCAGAGCTCCAGAATCATCTCCTCGAGATCGTCTAGAGCTTCTGGCTGACGTTCTTCCCGGGAAAGCTCTAACTTCATTCAGCTCCAGACGTGCTCAATTGGATTCATGTCTGAGGATCTAGGAGGCAATTCGGTACGATTGAACTTTTGCCCTTGCAGATACCGGTTCACTAATAATGCTCGATGAGGCTGAGCATTATCGTCTACAAGAACAAAATCCCCGCCATAATTTCGAGCATGTCGGAGAACTTGCGGAATTTGACATTTATCCAGGGACACTTGGCCGTTAACGTTGCCCCGAAATACCACGATACGACGAGTTCTGTTCTTCCGATGTGTTAGATACCGACCCAAACTGTCAATCCTCCACCGCCAAATGCAACTTGGGGACGCATGTTTTCTTCTAAAAAACGTTCTCCCCATCTCCGTCAGGTTAGAAATCGGCCGTCAGAATTGTAGAGGTTAAAACGGCATACATCAACGAAAAGGCAGTCTCGCCACCTAAAATCCCAATAATTCATGTAGGCGCCTTCTAATGATGTCAGCTGAAACATTCAACTGCAGATGCGTTAGGATTCTCTTGACAGTCCAAACTCTATTTTCAATTGCAGTACGTACTACTGACAAAGACGTCTCGAGGTGTTGACCTAGTGATCGAGTCACCACTAGAAAGAACTTTATTGAACCCTCCATCTTTCCCATATTCTTTGCTAAAAAATGGAAACTTTTCGCCGCCCTACATTTACACCCTGTATAACGAGAAGGAATTTTTTAAAAAAATGTACGACGACACTGATGCATAAACCAAAGATGGCGCTTTGTAACCCTGCCTGATAATCCAAGATCGGCAAAGAAATGTCAAAGTTATAGCAAGTCAAAATTAGGCAATTTTTTGGGTGTCCCACTTCATCTGCCGCTTAGTTTATTTTAGGGCCAGTTTCACAAATAGCGGTAACCACAGGCACACTGGTAACCCACAGTATGTCTATTTCGTAATGTGTAGTCATAGTTTAGTCCAAACCATTGTTCAGGCCCCAAAGTGTTTGACTCAAGCCCTATTTTGCGGACTTGTGGTCAACCCGCGAGTATTACAGCCAGTTTCACAAACAGTGGTAACCCAACGGTCACCACAAGACACTGGTAACCTACAATATATCTGTTTCATTAGTGTGGTTTTGCCAAAACCATTGGTCAAGGTTCAGATTATTCAATATCGTCAACCCCCCAACTATGAGTTTGATAACCAGTGCAGGTTACCAGCAATTGTAAAACTGGACTTAAGGAACCTGAAGAATGCTCACCTTATTTCTATATGAACGTATTTGAGCCACTTCAGGAATGAAGATCCTATGTCGAGGCGAATCTAAATAATATCCCAGTTTTTTATTTATTTTTTCCGGTTTTTGTCCTTTCATAAAATTCAATCAAAATATAGCAGTCACATCCAAAACTTTCTAATTTCTTCCCATCTAATTTTCTTCCTAACCAGAATTCTGCTTTTAATGTGCTAGATCCTATCTGATTTATGGTGATTGGTGAATACTGCATAATTGACAGCTTGTGCCCATACATTTTCAAATGTAATACCACAAGAGGTTTCAAGATTACCGGATAATACTTTTACCTGCCACGAAACGCGTTACGCAGCAACACCACGACTCCGAAGGAGGAGTGGTGTTGCTGGTAACGCGTTGAGTGTCAGGTAAAAGTATTAGGTAATCCTGAAACATCGAGTGGTATTCAAAAGGTTATACAACGAACTAAACCTCAATACTTTAAAATTTAAAAAAAATTCTATAATAGAATTTGTTATAAATGCCACCAAGCACGATAATTCCAAAAGGCTTATCACTTTTTAAGCCTCTCGTGTCATACGGGAATAATGTACAGTGAGTTGTATAATCGTCTAAATTTTTAGCATGTATAACAGACCGAGCTAACTCAATAGTATTTCAATTCGCTCTTCTGTTCAGAACTATAAGCATTGTTTTTTTAAGTGGAAAACTTCAAGTTCCACTAATAAGCCTTTTGTATCAGCATTCTTTATCTCTGTTTCATGCATGATCTTAAACACTTTATTCTTTTTCTCAAATTGATTTTCACTCATCTTCATGTAAGTATTCAATTTGGAAACGTCTTCATCTTCAGTTTTTAGAAAATAAAAGAAAATATTTGGCTTCTCCTAAAAATCTGACAGTCTTAAGGTTTCCCAGCAATTTTAAAGGCTTTTTCAAGTAACTAATTCCATATTGCTTTCCATTCCATAAACCACAATCTGGACATAATACATATATTTTATAATCATTCCAGTCATCAACATACCTTAAGTCACTTGTAGAATAATATAGGTATATTCTTTCTTTGTAAATGACAGCTTTTCTCTAACTGAAACATCAATATTTAAAGGGGAAGATAAGGAATCAACCTCCAAATTTAGAGCAATATTTCAAATGTTACAATCGGGCAGTTAGCCTAATACACAAATCCAAGTGTTCGGAATTTATTTGGATCCTTTCACAAAACTTTAGATTATAAATAAGTGAATATAATTGAGACAAATATAATTAACCATCAGTTATTTATTGCCATATAGCCATCATATGGAATTTACTGTAGTAATCTTACTGATATGTTTTATTGAATTTCAATTTTGCTATTTTATGTTTCAATAGCCTTTAAGAAACAATCCAAAAAAAATTTATCAACGTATTGAAATTATGTTTATTCTTTTCAGTCCCAACACGCCAACCAGTGAACAGTAAAACCTCTGAGATCGCTTCAATTATTGTTCAGTCTGGACGGATTAAAAAATTTGGAACTGGAGGCCGAAATTCCCATAAGCAGGTAAGCATATAGGTATGTTTAATATTATGTTTCACAAATCATTTTTTTGTCAAGTGTGGAATGGAACGATGAAGAGGTAAACACTGCCGAAAATGCTGAAATCTGGCTGAAAAACTGGAACAAGTATGGTACTACCGAATCGGACCAATTAGATGACGACCTGGAATCCGTAAACATTGCCAATTTTTTCCATAGAGTAGATAGTGATCAAATAATTTATCACATGAAAAAGAAACGATTAAAAGTGATCAGCAAATATGTTATGGGAGATTTATTGGGAGAAGGATCGTATGGCAAAGTTAAGGAAGTTATGGACGTCGAAACACTGAGTAGGCGAGCTGTCAAGATATTTAAAGAGAAAAAACTTCGGCGTATACCTAATGGAGAACAAAATGTTTTAAAAGAAATAAGCCTATTAAAAAAGCTTCGCCATAAAAATGTTATTCGCCTGATAGACGAGTTTAGGATAAACGAAAAAAGTAAGCTTTACATAGTAATGGAGTTTTGTGTGGGTTCATTACAAACGATGCTTGATTCGGCACCAGATAAAAAATTTCCAGCACAACAAGCACATGGGTATTTCATTCAACTAGTTCACGGTCTAGAATATCTGCACGGACAAAGAGTGATACATAAAGACATTAAACCAGGCAATTTACTGTTGACTTTGGAAGAAGAACTAAAAATCACTGATTTTGGTGTTGCAGAGACTTTTGACTTTTTCGCCATAGACGACACTTGCTACATAGGACAAGGATCTCCAGCGTTTCAACCGCCAGAAATTGCAAACGGAGCTGACAGCTTTGCCGGATATAAAGTAGATATTTGGAGCAGTGGAGTGACACTTTATAATTTTGTCACAGGTTCATATCCTTTCGAAGGCAACAACATTTATAAGTTATTTGAAAGCATCGGCACAGGAGTTTTCACAATACCAACAGAAATCCAAGATCCTCTTAGAGATTTATTATTTGGCATGCTCAAAATTAATCCCACAGAACGGATGACTTTACAACAAATCAAACAACATGCTTGGCTTAATAGGAAACCACCGGCTAGCGACTACAAAGTACCGATTCCACCATTGAAAAACGACACATGGCACAATATGACAGTATTACCATACCTTTGCAATCATTACTATGAAAATTGTAGCAATGGCGACGAGAATGGAACTTCGGATGATGTAGAGTACTTTACAGAACGTGAACTGAATGCGATGGAAAATCGTAAACAATCGGAAGGTACTTCTGAGCAGTCGGGAAGCACTAAAAGGAACAGTAAAAAACAATCGATCTCCTACAAGGCTGTTAGGAATTTGTTCACGTGCAAACAGTCGTGACATAGCGCAGTATGTGAGATATGATTTAATCCTTGTTTATTGTATAAATTGTGATCCAAATAAAAAACTTTTTAAACAATAAAAAGATGACACTCACTTTTATTATTATTATTATTATTATTATTATTATTATTATTATTTAGTCTGACAGTAGGTAGAAAGTCTGATAAAAACTGCCACTTTGTAAGCATAACAATCAAACTTAATAATGTACAAATTCGCGATTCACATGTGTAAGGTCTCTATCCAGTCTTTTTTTGAAAAAACCTGGAGCATCGAATTTCATACGGAAGTTCTTTCAGTTCGGTTGGATGCTTTATACAGGGTGTATATTTTAAGTGATACCACTATTACTATATCCGAAACGGTAAGAGCTACAAGGTCGGTTAAATTAGAGAAAAGTTGCCTTTTTTGATGCCCATTCAAAACTTGTTTACAGTGTTGTCAAATTCCTGTTGTTTCGTCTTTATTCTAAATAAATTTTATACAATTTGGCAAAGGTGCAAAATTCCTGTTTGCTCGCATTTTTTTGTTTTGTTTCGCGCAAAAAAAGTCGTACCTCTAGATTTTGATAGTGGACGTACCAGAAGCGAGTAATTGGACAGACTTGCTAAGAAACTCGATGAGACGACACGGGCGCGTCGTCGTACGGCTTAACCCGGTCGCAATATTTCTAATCTCAAAACTTCATTGTGAAGTCCTCTCGTATCAACCTTCTACAAAGTTACATAACCCGTAATTGGGAACACCATAATCCGCAGCGCGTGTGTTAAGCAGGGTCCCTGCAGGAGTGCACTTATGGAATCATTGGGTAAGTCCTTTTTATCATTATTTAGAGGTTGCGCCGCAAAGTAAATACAGTCCACTACCAGCTAAGACATTACGTATTAGCTACCCGCAAAACATTTTGATCCTTAACGAGCCAAATTTCTTATTTTGTTCTGGTGCTTAAATTGATTAACTGGTTAATTATTGCAATTAATCGATTAATTGAAAGTATTTTATTTGATTTTTTTCATTTTGTTGAAATTCATTCGCGTTATACATCATTCTTAGCAAGAAACTGCAAGTGTTTTAATTATTCTCGGTTTGTGTTTTAGACAAAATAAAACATAAAAGGCATTAATTATTGTAATTTGGCCAGTAGAACGAAAACATTTTTATCAGAAAATCCATAGAAGTTGTAAATTGAACCTCAAGAGCAGAGCAAAAAAAAAAGAAAAAAAACTTGTTTATTTGAACATAAACATTCCAAGCTTGAAATTCTTTCTTTTTTTTTGACTTGCCCAAATGCAAATTCAGGAAAAGAACGGATTTTGCTAGATAGTAGGTACTATTCGATTTAATTTAATTTAAATTTGATTTCAATTTTTTTTTTGGCAATATGTCAGAAGATTTAAAAATTCTCACTGCCCAACGCAAAATTCTTATCAAACGAATTTCTGAAGTCTACGATATTGCTAATAAAGCGATCGCAGATGAGACAACGCAAGAATATTTTAAGACACGCTATGAGGCTATTCCCTCTTATTATCAAGATTTCGAAAAAATTCACATGACAATAGTTTTTCATAAGGATATGTCTGAGGACAAATGGGATGGCGAAGAAGAAATTCGAAGCGAAATAGATGAAAAGTATTATACTACGAAGAGCATCTTCAATCAATTCATTAAAAATGAAGCAATCGCTAATGCGAGTGTCAATATGACAATGTCGCAACCGTTAGCTTCACCCACTGCCGCTTTGCATAACTTTGCCCCGACTATAAATGTTAATTTGCCCAAGTTGACCCTACCTGTATTTGAGGGTGACCTTAGGCAATGGCCAACGTTTTTTGATTTGTTTCAAAACCTAATTCATAATAAAGCTGGCTTATCAGATATAGAAAAGTTCCAGTACTCCTCTCTTTTATTAAGGGGGAACCGCTAAATTTAATCAAAGCTATTCCAATAACGGAAGCAAATTACAAAATTGCCTATACAACCCTGGTGAGTCGCTACCAAAATAAAAGATTACTGGCAACCACCTATTTAACTGAAATATTGAATTTCCCTAAAGTTTCGAATGGGTTTAATTTACGGAATATTTTTGATTCCTTTATGGAAAATTTAGACGCCCTTTCTCTCTTAGGATTTCCAGTTGTACATTGGGATTTTATTCTTCTGAATTTATTACTTAAAAAACTGGACGTTGACACAGTACAACGTTTTGAATTAGCCCATGCACAATTTGATATTCCAACCTTTAATCAGTTGAAGTTATTTCTTACAAATCAATGTAAAGCTTTAGAGACTATGGCTCATTCGAATAATCAAATTTCGCAAACAAAAGGAGCAAATAATAGTCGAGGCGTAAAAGGTGATCCTGGAAAAGTTTATCCTCATGCATTGTTGGCAAATGCAAGTAACGGCAACAGTCAAACTCAAAAGATAGTACCTTCACAAAGATGCAGTGTGTGTAATTTGTCACATTTGGTTTATAATTGCCCTAATTTTCGCAATAACACTCCCAAAGAGAGATTTTCGATTTGCAAGCAAAACAGAATGTGCATCAATTGTCTGAGTTCGGCTCATAACTTACAGAAGTGCAAATCTACCTCGGTTTGTCGCATCTGTCGTTTGCGCCATCATACTTTACTGCATTTTGATTCAGCCAAGAGTCCAAACTCCGCAGATTCACAAACCAATTCATCTAGTTCAGTTCAATCGCCCCCTGATAACCAAATACCCTCATTGTTTAGCCCAAATTCAAGTTCTTCGCCGACTATGAATTCGTGTGTTGGAGCTGTAAATCCAAATTCAGTGGTTCTATTGGCAACCGCGCTAGTTAATGTCTTGGATTCCCAAGGCAACCCGCATTCCGTTAGAGTTTTGCTGGATAGTGCCAGTCAGGCAAATTTTATCTCAAAAAGGTGTTTCAACCGCTTAGGTTTGACTTCCTCAAAACTCAATATACCTATTAAAGGTATTGGCGAAATGTCTTCTCTTGTATCACAAGGTGTGACGCTATTCTCGATCGGTCCTCCTATCAACAATAAGTTGTTAGTCAATTTAGAAGCTATTATCCTACCCAAAGTATGTTCGGACATGCCAACCGCATTCTTTAAAACCGATTCTTGGGATCACATCAACAATTTGAAGTTAGCTGATCCATCGTTTAACGCTCCAGGTAGTATCGACATGTTACTGGGAGCTTCAGTTTTTCCTCATATTTGGTTGCCTGGAAAAATCGATGGAGGTGGAAGATCTCCAGTTGCCCTCAACACAATTTTTGGCTGGGTGCTGATGGGAAAAATCAATTTTCAAACTCCAACTCCACTTTATACTTTCTCAGCGCTTGTTGAAAATGATGATCTTACAACAAAGTTGCAACAATTCTGGGAAATTGAAGAAGTTCCTCAAGCTAGCACTCTCTCCTCTGATGACCTCTTGGCCGAAAGTTCGTTTGTGAATACGCACCGTCGCACGTCCCATGGACAGTTTATTGTTTCCCTGCCATTCAAAAATGGTGAACCGCTTCTTTCTGATTCACGTTCCATTGCTTTACGTCGATTCTATAGCCTAGAACGGAGATTACAAAGTAATCCCCAAACTTACAAGGCCTATTGCGATTTTATGCATGAGTATTTGTCCCTGGGACACATGAAAATCGCAACTGTCCTACCCGCTCAAGATCGTCCCGAAAAATTGTATTATATTCCTCATCACAGCGTAATAAATCCTAATTCTTCTACCACCAAGCTTCGTGTGGTCTTTGACGCATCCGCAAAAAATACAGAAGGCGAGTCCCTAAACGCAACGCTTTTACCCGGTCCTAAGCTCCAGAAGGACATCACTGCTATTCTTTTAAATTTTCGACGCTACTCGGTTGTCTTCACTGCTGACATCAAGATGATGTACCGCCAAATTTGGGTTGATTCATGTCATTGGGATTATCAACGCATTATTTGGCGATTTAGCCCTTCAGATCCCATTCAGGATTTTGTTCTGAAGACGGTAACTTATGGAGTATCTAGTGCGCCATTTCTTGCATTACGATGTCTTCTTGAGTTGGCGCAAAATTATTCCGAGGATTTTCCTAGGGCATCAAAAGTTCTTCTTAATCAAACTTTCGTGGATGATGTCGTTGATGGAGCGAATTCATTAAGTGAAGCCATCCTTATCAAGAACGAACTAATCCAGCTCTTAAAGTTGGGAGGCTTCGATTTGAGAAAATGGTCTAGTAACGACTTGGAATTTTTATCAACTATACCTTCTGATATTCACCAAACATTGACATCTATTTCAATGGATGACACGGATTCCTATTTCAAGGTTTTAGGACTTCGTTGGTATCCCCACCTCGATAAATTTTCTTACGAAATAAAAGTTTTAAAATCAGAATGCTCTAAACGGTCCATACTTTCGGAAATTGCTCGCATTTTTGACCCTCTAGGTTTCCTTGCCCCTGTTACATTCGCCCTTAAATTATTGATGCAAAATCTCTGGGTCCAAGGACTCACCTGGGATGATGTGGCTCCCTCTGATATCGCGAAAACATGGAAAAAATATAAGGCCGATCTTCCCCGTTTGTCAAATTTACGCATCCCTAGACATTGTTTTCTTTCCTCATATGTCTCGATTGAGCTCCACGGTTTTGGAGATGCCTCCAGCCTAGGATATTCAGCGTGTATCTATTCACGTTTGGTTTGCTCTAACCAAAAAATTTCTACTTTCCTTGTTTATGCAAAAAGCAAAGTTGCTCCGTTAAAACGTATTTCACTTCCTAGACTCGAACTTTGTGCGTCTTTGTTGGCCGCAAAATTACTTAAATTTGTCTTGGCCACTTACTCAGACGTTAACTTTACGCGGATTTACGCTTGGTCGGATTCTATGGTCTCACTCGCTTGGATTCGCTCGCCGGCATTTCGATGGAAAACTTTCGTAGCCAATCGAGTCAGCCAAATCCAGGATATCGTGCCTCCTGAAAACTGGAACCACGTTGCCTCGGAATTTAACCCCGCCGACTGCGCTACTCGGGGCATGTTACCCTCTGAATTGTGTGACGCTTCTTTGTGGTGGCACGGTCCCGCATGGTTACTGTTGCCGCAGGAAGTGTGGCCTGCATCAAAGTTTGAACCCGATTCAAAGCCGCAACCGG